TCCTCACAGGGCTGTGAAGAAGCTCGCACGTGTTTCTGTTTCTATAATTCGAGGAACTGAACAACATAAACCTTTATTATTTATTCTTTCATTGTGTCAAGCTGAAAAATGTAGCCACTGGGTCCATCATGTGCTTTCCTGATAGTACTGATAGTATTAAAATTCTGACCATGCACCGAAAAAAGAACATGTTGGATTTGCTTAATTCACTAGTGGACATTTGGCAGCAACTTAAACAACTGAGGTAAATTAACACTTAACTTTAAAACACAAGACAACTTGCAAGAAATAGCCAGTCTCCTTTTTCAGTGCACTTCTTTGCATTCATAACTCAAGGTTTCAATTTGTCACTCCACAATATGAGTCACCACTGATTTTCAGTTGAGTTCTTGTATAATTTGGTGTACCCGGTCTTTTTCCCCCCATTTCCCTTCCTTAGAAATAGCTTCTTCACAGCCACACTTCCACTGAGACCCCTTCTGATGATGCTACAGTGAACTGTACATGGATCAACTGAAGGCCTGATGCATCTCTCAGGTTCTGTAACTTGTCCTTGTTGGATTTTCTCCCTATTTCTCAAGGACCTGACTTTCAGATACTATTCATCAGCTACTTTTAGCCCTGCCACTTCTTTAATATTCCCCTCACTTGTTTCATCAAATATTTTTCAAGGACACACAATGTTCTGTGAATAGCTTTTTGGGAATCACCTTGTTGGTGTAAAAATACTAATGTATTCCTGTCAAACTATCTTCTATCTAACTATCTGATCAGATTCAACTAAAGAAATGGGAACACATTTTGTCTTTTGTGGCAAGCTACTAGTAGAAAAGTACCTAAAGAGACATTTAACCACTCAAATGTGTCCAAATGATTTATTTGAATGACGTGTTCACTCCTGAAAAAGAGTAAAAAGACAAAGAAGAATTAGAGGAAGACCATGACCAAAGTGGTCACTGACTGCTGGGGATTATATGTGCTGATAACAGCCACTCAATGGGTCGCTAACATTCAACAAGGCATCTAAGAGAAATTTTGCCCCACCAGCCAAAATCCTAAAATCCTAAATACAAGATAGAGAATCACCAACAGTCTTTCAGAAAACCTAAGTTTAACTCAAAGAGTTGTATTAATCTAAACACTGGGCTTCCAAAAAATATCCAGATCCACAGACTGCATGAAGATATTAATTTCTTTAATCATATTTGATCAGCTTCCTGAGCATAAATGCATTTTTATCTTTTTAATAATAATTTATGTGTGTAAAGTAAAAGCGAGCCATCTGAAAAGGATGATTACTGAAAACAAATGAAGAATAAAACTTATGAAACTTTGAACATGAAGGTGCTTTTTAAAAATATGTTTTTTGCGACACCTTGTGGCCTTGCACATGCTGTTTTCAGCATTGTGCAAGGCGGTCTATGACGAGAAGTGACGTGAAAGCCTGAATTCCATAAAAAAGCCAAAATGTGAGAAGGGTGTTGAACAGTAGAGATCTCAG